ACCCAGCTTTATAAAGATGTAAAAGCACATTCAGAAGTCTTCTTTATAGTGTTTTATCCTTGAAGTCTTGACTGAAAGACTTTGTGAGAGGTATTCTATGTATTTCCTGGGCAGAAACTGGAATTCCTGTTATCCATGATATTCTGAAGTTAAAAAGCAAGACCCAAAACTATAAAATATGCATACTTTGAATTATCTCCTAGTGAAGATTTATTTAAATTCAGTCTTTAAATTCAAGCCTATTTCTTTTTTTCTTGAAACCTTTCAAGAGAACCCGGGTAACCCAGCAGTCCTGTGTGTAGTTGTGACAATTGGGAACAGACGTTTTAGGCTACCAGGGAATTGACAGCTCTGCTTGGGGTGATCTTTCTCTGTGTAGGTTTTAATATTTTGGCTTAACTCTGAGACAGCAAAATAATGGCAAAGTTATAAATGGTAATTAGGAATTGATGCAGTAAAATACAGAAAGGGTTAGGCTGCAGAACAGTTACTTTAGCTGAAATGAACATAAAAATTGTTTATTGGAAGCAGTTATAATAGTGTGGTGACAAGCCAATAATGATTTGCAGCATGCTCCCTGTAAGTCTGGGGAAACATGTTCAGATCCTGACCTCCTGGTTCAATAAATAATTCATTGCTCATATTAGAGGTGTTCACATTAGGATATTAATTAAGGAGCTGGGCAGAGCTAGGGTGAACAATCTTCCTGAATTAGGCAGTGCTGTGAAGCTCCTCAATATCTCTTTGCTTTGTCTGCTTCACACCCCTTGTCTGGTCACAGGGTTATCACCCAACCTGCATTGTGGTCACTCCTGAGCAAAATGTGCCCTTCCATGGCCACAATGCCCAAGGGAAGGAGGGGAGACTGGATGTGCAGGATGAGGCATGTGCTCTTCTTGCTCTCTACTAAGTCTGAGGGTCCAGAGTACACTTGTGGGCCACCTGTTTTTAGGGTGGTGTACCACATTCGAGGCAGCAGCTGGATTAATGTGTGCAAAGTGGCAGTCCATTTTATCTTGTTTCATTTAATTCAGATAGAAAAAACACTTCTACATCTCAGGGGTTTGTACACAACTCCACCTCACCATCTTGGGGCATGGAAACACAGAAGAATCTCAGCTTTCATGAAGGATTTTTCCAGTCATTCCCCTTGTCAATATAATGTGAAATTTATAAATCAGAAATACACTGATTATAAACCTAGTGCTACTTCATTGCATGACCAGTACCCAGTTTCAAAGACACTGTGTTTGCAGATACATATCTATATAAGAGGCAGATGCCTAATTCTAGAGAAGTGAAATAACTGGAGAGACAAAATACTAGGAATAATCCAGGAATTAATACCCTTTTTAGGTAAATGCTTTAATATAAAGGGAAGGGGTGGATGGGGATCTTGGACTGTCTCTTGCTCCCAAATTCATATTGCTAGATCTTTGCTGCTGCAGGTACTTTATCTAGTTAGATCAAATTCAGCATGCAGATGCTTACCTTTGCTACAGTCACACCTCATGGTTTGCTTACTAAAGTATACTGTGGAGCATTGCAGGCTATAATTGCACCTACAAGCAGGTCTTGCAGATTTGCTGCCTTTTAGCATTTCATGTGGATGTCTCCACAGTAAACTGTGGAAATATGTAGATGTGGGTTTTAGAATTACAGGCCATCTAACAACTTTGGGGTTTTTTTGGCCTATGGTGAAATTGTCATGTGTAGGATCAGCTGTGAAGAGACCATAAATAACCATTTCAGGGTTACCTGACAAATGACTTCTCAAATTGACATGGATGTTCCAGAGCACGTTGTTGCTCTATAGGCCTATTGCAGTAAATGCCTCTTGATTGCTTACAATTTAAATTTTGCAAACAGATAATAGAGCTCAGTAAAATTGCACCAGTGTTAAAATCACCCAAACAGTCATTTACACAACATCGCACAGAATTAGTGCATGCTTTTCACACAGAGAAAATTGTGAAAGTAGATTTTAAGTAGAAATCAAATTATACTGCTGAAATAGTTGACCAAAATCATACTCTAGTCCATTTAGCATACATTAAAAGTAAAGATTAAAGGATAGAAAGATAATTGCTAAACTAGTTGAACAGTGATACGTCTTAAAGTTTTGATTTTGATTGTTTTCTCTCTTCACAAACAGACCAGTTCTGCTGAGCCCATTATGTTTGACTATAATGTACTCACGAAGGTCTCACTGACACTGCTGTGAGTAATGTTAATTTAAGGAAAACTCAGATAATTTATTATATATTGTACTGCATATTTAAATCACATCCAAAGAGGAGAAAAATAAAGTTTTGCAGCCTCATTTTGATCAGTTGTTACATCTACACAAGTCAGACCACCATATTTGATCTAGCCAAACATAATTTGCCCAAACTTTTGTGGAAATAGCATATTTTGATTACATTATCCAAATTTTAAAAATTGTTCCTATAGCAACATACACTACAGGGTGAGATGCCTGACTGTCATCCTATCAAACAATTTCTGTCAGGAAGTAGGTACATTTTTTGGAAGGAGTTGAAACAAGGGAAGTGTTGATATAGATCTGTCCATACTAAGTGTGGGAGAAGGTAAGAAAAAAGTGATAAAACAGGCTGTGTGTAATAAAACGCTGTGACTAAATATGGTCCTGCTTTTACTCTGGAACAATTCACATCATTTATATGTGCCCATTTCTGTTGTAAAATCTATCCCAATAACTATTTTCCAGGATGCTTATAAATATGTAACACTCCTAAGTGTGTCTCTGTGGCAGAGTCGCTGTTGCATCTTAGCATCTTAAATTTTAAGTACCTTTTCCTCATACCACCATCTGAGGAAGTATTATGAAAGTCTGCTAGTTTGTGTCAGGTCAGCAACATGATCACAGAGGGACTCACGTACAGCTGCAGAGTAAACACCTATGAAAGCACTACTCAGAGTCAAGAGGAAACATCTTTAGAGTTTGGCCAGCCTTTTCCATGCTTGCTCCCAGGCATGCTTGGTGGCCAAACATTTTCAAAACTGCAGAAAGCAAACTGTAGGTTGTTCAGTCTGTATCAGTGCTTTTGAATGAATTGATCAGTTTAAACTGCTGTCCTGGGAATATGACTGTGGTGCACAATTGTATGTTAACTTTTCTGATCCTGACTGAGATGCAAAGCATATGAAAACAGTTATGGCATGTATTACTCACTAAATCATCAAAAGCCCCTTGCTACTCAGCAGTGACCTTTGGAGCCCCTGGTTGTGTATTTGCATTCACTAAAGTAACCCAGAGCTGATGATGCCAAGGAGATGTTGAAACTGATTAAGACCACAGGCTGGTGTTGACAGCATTTTGGGAAAACTTCACAGGGGACTACTGTTCAAACCTGATGCTCAGCATTTATGTAGCAGGCAAGAGCAAAGAAACACTTGCATTTGGACTAGAAAGCAATACATTTTATAAAGCCTGCAATTGTCACAAGATTAAAGGGTCCTGTGTTTGACCCCAGAGCAAGTGTTTACCTGTGAAGATTATGTTATTGACCATGTTCTTTACCTCCAATTAGGTGTTCAAGTAATGGAATATTTCATTCCTCTTTGATGTTTGATTTCTGCTGCTTTCTACATCCACTGAATCTGTCCAAAGGTGGTTATTCTTGCTTTCATTTTGTTTTCTGGCAGAGCCACTGAAAGAGGTTAAATGTTAATGAGTTTTAAGAGCACCCTGAGGGCTCTAGTTTTTCACTCATTTACACCACTGTCAGAGCACTGTGGCATTACTAAGCTGGAATCATTCCTGACTGACACAAGGGGAGAATCAAATTCTGCCTATCTGGTAGTTCTGAACACAATTGATATTTGGATTTTGTTGATGCTGGAAAAAAAAAATTGCTTAGAAGCAGCTCTCTTCTTTCAGGTGATAAAACAAAGTGTGCATCTTCTTCATCAAAAGTTTGAAGGTAGTTTCTTGTCCCTTTTGGAGGTTTACATATTATGACTGTTAATTTCCCGTATGATGTTAAAAACCAAAATAAAAATGTGTTTGTGAAAAGCCTCCATTAAAGAAAAAACCAGCACAACTTGCTCTCAAAATGTTCTACATGACATTATATATGTCATCAGTTTTGAAATGCATAGTGGTTTGCTGAGTCTCATTTATTTCATAACCCCTGAGTCACCAGTGTAGGACTTTTCTAGGGTTTGTGAGAGTAATGCAAACAAGGTTGTTTCCTCATAAATGTACTAATTGCCTTCAGCAACATAAAAGCGTGCATAGTTACCTTACATACATTTTCCATTCTTGCTTGTTTAAGCATTCTTTATTTCCAGTAGACCTGCAGTTGTCTTTGCTGTGTGAAATACTCCCTAGGTATTTCTTGTGAGAAATGACTGATGTCCCCCAACAACATAAGTCATGCCTGTATTGTTAAAGACCGCGGTTTGAGAAGGGAATAAAAGGGAAGGGCTAATCCTCTCAGTGGTTTAACCAATTACTTGCATTAATAGACCATTCTGATAGATATAACTACAGCAAGCTGAATTGTATACTCCGTGACTGGGGGTATTAGACCTTTGCATCACATTTTGTTCTAAGTAGTTTGTTACACTACTTTGATGTGCATATCCTGTCTGCAGAAACCTTTTTCCAGTACGGCTGCTGAACAGTGTGTAAACTGAACCAACATAAGCAGCAATAGACAAGGGAAGAACTTGACTAAAAATAAGAATTGTAGCACTTTTTTGCTCCTTTCTTCTATATTCTACTTCTTGCATGACTTACATGTACATGTGTAATAATTTTGCTAAATGCAGGTGTTTTTCTGTTATAGTATATGCCATGTTAATGGAAAATTACTCTTTACAATATATTTGACTCGTTTGTCTCACAACAACTCATTCTCCTGGGAGATCTAGAAATGGTATTAATACATATTTTTCTAAGGCAGCTAGAAGTTTCTATGGTGAACATAGAAATAATTTTTCTTTTTTTTTTCTTCCCTACTTCTAACCAGGTAGACAAGAAAATTGTCCGCACAGAAATTGGTGTTCTTCTTCGCCTTTCACATCCAAACATTGTAAGTTTAGTCTTGTTCTTCCACTGGGCATTTGATGTTTGTTTTTTTTATTTAATAAATTCCTTCTGTTCATGACTGATGGCTGTTGTGGTTCACCTATACAAAGCTGGATTAAAACTTTGGGATCTTTTCCTGAGCATGCTAGCAGCTTTTTATGAAGGTCTGTTGAGTTATACTTACACTTTAAAATAAAATATTGAAGTTCTTATAGATTTCAGCAAGAAGCTATGTGAAAAATTTCTGCAAACGAAGTTGGTGTGGTCAGTCCTTGGAGGGTAGGAAAGGTCTTACTTTTCAGTTTCTCTGAAACATTGGCAGACAGGTGCTGACCAGCACAAACAAAACCAGCCTCTTAAGCTCCTG